CAGTAGTTGTGCACTCAGCACCAGTTTGTCTGGCACTTCCTCGTCACAAATTGATAATTTGAGTTAGCAGGTTATGTCTACTGTTTCCCTGTTAGCTGATCAATTCTCAGTTCTAAAAGATTACACTCCATTCTTACTTTGCGAGATAATCTTTAATGTAGTATCCTGTTAAATCCCTTCTGGAAATCTAAGTACAGCACATCCAAGGCTCCCTTTCACCCTATTTGCTAATTTACTTCCTTAAAGAATACCAATAAATTAGTAAAACAGGGTTTCCTTCTTACAAACCATGTTGGCTTTGCCAGTTTGCATTGAAATTTAAAATTTTAAGATTTTAAACCACCTCACTTCTGTAAGTACACTTTCTGTGCCTGTGGAGAAATAGTGAAATCCAGAGAACACAGGTGGAAACTAGCCAGCTAAGTCTATGTGTATGCTCTAGTTAACTAATAAGAGAAAACATCCTAAAGCAAATAATTGGAACACTTAGTTTGTGTACATCCTGGATCATTCCTCACTTTGCATCCTGCAGAAACAAACTGAGCCGCCTGGTCATCTTGACCTCAATTCCAGAAGCAAATCAGAGCTGGTCTCCCAACAACACAAGTATACATTTGTTGTGGATGGTACACACATTTTGCCTTATAACATGTTACTACCATCTTTCCACTACACCATAGTTAAATTCAATAATTTAGTGCAGTGTTTCCCAAACCGTTACTGAACGTGAACTGTTTTGGTACTTAAAAGTGGCAGATTCCTGTTGGTGAAAATGAGAACAGTTTCTACTATCACTACATGAAGTGTTATAATTTGAACTTTCTGCTGTTGAATAACCTGAAGTGCTACCCTCGTGGGCAGAACAGCACAAGTTATGACATGAGTGGAGGATCCTTGCTTGTGGCTCTTAGTAGCTTGGTTCAGGACAACACTGAATAACTCCCACTGTCTCCCTGTTGGGAAGCAGTTGCAATTTTTAAGGTATGTCTTTAGTCATTCACAGGATGAGGGTGACGCTGGCTAGGACAACATTTATTGCCCATCCCTAATTGCTCAGAGGGCAGTTAAGAGTCAACCACATTGCTGTGGGTCTGGAGTCCCATGTAGGTCAGACCAGGTAAGGATGGCAGTTTCCTTCCCTAAAGGGCACTAGTGAGCCAGATGGGTTTTTTTTCCCCCCTGACCATCAACAATGGCTTCATGGTCATCATTAGAGTCTTAATTCTGGATATTCATTGAATTCAAATTCCACTATCTGCTGTGAGGATTCGAACCCTGGTCCCCAGAACATTATCTGGTCTCCAGACTAATAGTCCGGCGATAATGCCACAAGGCCATCGCCTCCCCGTGTGCCTCCCATGATGTTCAGATAGTTGTACTCAAATTGTCCATTTCCAGGCAGCTTTAAATATTTTCTAATCAACCTTTTCAGAGAAGTTATTACATACTTCTGGTCCAGGCAGCTTAACTTTAAAAATAAAAATTCACCCATTTTTCTGATCAACCTGTTCAGAGATGTTATTAAACACCTCTGGAGCAGGTGGGACTTGAACACAGACCTTTTGATCCAAGGCTAGGGACATTACCACTGCGCCACAAAAGGGCCCATAATGGGAACACTGAATTCCAGGCGGTTTTTTTTTTAAAAATAACAATTGCACAAAATGAATGCACATTAATTTTGATGAATCAATGTTCCACAATGTAATATAAATTATGCTGGAATTTCTCATTATTTGTCTGTTCCTCTCTTCAATATTTAATTCTTTTAACTCTTCACTTTTTTTTGAATATTCAATAGACACTCTTAAGAGTCTTGGATTACCTAAATAACTTTTGTGATTGCCTCTTCTAACATTCTAATCATTTGCTTTTAGCAGCAGATGCATCCAGAGGACAGGTTATCTGGTTTTAGGTGCTCATTTTAAGACATTGTAAAGAAAGCTTAGCTATCTTTATAAAATGCAAAACTATTCTTTTGAGACAATGGACAACAATGAAAGGAAATGAGATCTCTGATCCACGTCAGAGTGGAATGGAGAATAACTCCATTTCACAGCAGGGAGAGAACTCTGCCAGATCTCAATCATTTAATTATATTACTTTTTTTTTCCTTTATTCATTCACAGGATAAAGGTGTCACTGGCTAGGCAGCATTTATTGCCCATCCCTAATTGCCCAGAGGACAGTTAAGACTCAACCACATTGCTGTGGGTCTGGAGTCACATGTAGGCCAGTCCAGGTGAGGATGGCATTTCCCTTCCCTAAAGGACATTAACCAGATGGGGTTTTTCCAACAATCAGTAATGAATTCATGGTCATGATTAGACTCTTAATTCCAGATATTTATTGAATTCAAATTCCATCTACCATGGTGGGATTTGAAACCAGGTCCCCAGAACATTATCTGGGTCTCTGGATTAACAGTCCAGCAATAATAGCACTATCTAAGGTTTTGGAGTAGATTTGTAGCTCAGGTTGTGGGTGTTGAGGTTGGTTGGCTCGCCGAGCTGGTTTGTTGTTCCGCAGAGGTTTCATTACCCTGCTGGGTAACATCATCAGTGTAGCCTCCGATGAAGCGTCGGTGTGTTGTCCCATCTGGTTTTTAAAACTCTGGAGTCCGTTGAGCTGGATCGCCTCACTTCCAGTTTTCCTTCGTGGTGGAGTGTATATGGGGTCGAGTTCTATGTGATATGATAATAGCACTAGGCCATCGCCTCCCAACTACTAATTGTTCGACTTTGTTCACTGACACAGAACTTGGACAATAACTTACATTTAGAGTACCTTTTGATTTCAAGACATTTCATCAAGGTATATTATATTTGCTCCTGCTTATTGCTGATGGTACCTTCTGCCACTTTGTTGATTGAGCGTAGACTGATGAGGATTAAGCAATTGGATTGGGTTTGTCATGCTTAAGCAATGACCATGCCCACAGATCTTAAGTTGGTTGAACTCTGCTGTCATCTGGGAGCAGGACAATGTGACTGAGACTAATGACGTAAAATGCTGAATGTATTGCTGAACCATTGCATAAAACTTAAATGGCAGCGACACTATGATGTACTTTACTGTTCCTAATCAACTGAAGCTATAATGCTTCCAAATATTCATTGCATTAGCAAATAAACTTGGATAAAACATTGGAAAATGCAAGATGCTCTCAGAACTGCATACGAAAGATTGATCCATGCTTTTGGCAGAAGAATCAGAAGAGAGAGCCAAAACCTTTTGTTCACTTCCAATCCTTGATATTTCCCTAGAAATGTTTCATTCCCACTTTATATTCTATTTCCATTCATCAGTTTGATAAGTATACTGAAAGTTACACTAAAAAGAAAAATCAACCTAAACAAATTCGGAATTCATAGGAAGGTGTCTATAACACATTAAATTTTATTCAGAGTGAACAGTTATACATTTTCTGCTACTTTGAGCAGTACATTATTTTTAGAAGTATAATATGCTCATTTGGGAACAAATCATGTGACCTTACATGTGCAAAGGATGTAAATGCTCACTTATGAGTATTTGGATTTGTTTCAACCCAAATCCAGACTAAACTTGTTCGAAATGACTATAAAATCATTCTTAATATCATAAAAGCTTTTTAATAGGATTTGCAACAAGTCTGTCCTCTTATTTACGTTAGACCTTATCAACGACTTGGGTTGCCAAAGCAATGTGCTCATGAGAAGTGGACTCCTTGTGAATTAAAACCATGAAGTAAGCTGTAGGAGAAATACAGAAACATTACTTGAACAGAATGCAAAGTCTTTTTAAATTGTTTCCCCTAGCTTTTATTTTCACTGAAAAGTCACTTAATTTAAATCTTTTTATGCTGGCCTATGCAAGAATTACTTAAGTACCAGACATTTACAGCAAAGAGGCCTCTATCAGATTGAAGAAATGGATGATGCTGTAATGTGATACTATGGCATTGCTAAATATTTTGCTTCAAAATTACATCAAAGCTGATTGTTAACATTTACACCATTCTTTAATGTAATTTAAATCGTCAAATATCTTCAGACTTTGTGTGGACGTACTGTGTTATGAAACTGACAGCACAATCATTTTTTAATCAAAATATTGTGGGGTGGGTGGGGAAGGCATACTTAAATAAAATTCTGAAGTGGAACATTTGATTCCAGTGTTGCAGATCTCTCAATGTCAAACATCATATCATTGAGATGGAGAACTGATCAAAAAGTTTTAATCATAATGAGTCAATTTTGCAACCATCTCACTGGTCAGTGAGATCTGTACTCTCACATCACATGGTTGAGTGTTTTCAATGAGAGTTAAGACAGAGAACAAAACACGTCTGTATTTAAGCAAATTGAAATTCTATGGACTCCTGTTCCTTTACCTCATGAAATCATCTATGTCCATTGTACGAGCTCGTTTTTCATTAAAATTGGTTTCTTCCAGGATTTTCTGGATCTTTTCTGTAATGCTGAAGTTTTCTGGTAGTTGCTATGCATAAACAAAGATTGGTGGCTGAATAATAATGGTTCTTGAAGGTTTATAGTTCTTGAAGTGTTAGTATTGTTTAGTTTCAATTGTTTAAAATGTTTATAGACATTTATTATTGAAATCAATTACCTTCTGGTTTTAATAAAGGGTGTTCATTAAATAAGTAGTAAAATTATATTATAGTAAATCAGTCAAGAATTTTAGCAATGGTGTGATGAATCAAAAATACAACTTCTACACTTACAATATTATGCAAAGAACAGTGTATTCTGTAATTTTTTTCCAGCAATCGCTCAACTGCATTGGATCTATGGGAAAAAAAACTCCATAAAACTTTAAAAGGTAACAGATATGGTTATACTAAACATACAAATTATTTTGAAGCACAATATTGGATACAGATCACCCTTACATCAACAACATAAGAAATCTCAGACAATGCATTAGTATGTAAGGGACAGATCCAACAGAATTCAAAAAGAAAAGATCATCTAGATATAAAATAAAATGGGTGAAATGCATGTAAGCACTGAAGAACTGACAAAAAAATGCTGTTTCTTCCCCCTTCAGAAATTGACTTAAAAACAAGAGGTTTGTGATATTTTCAGACTGATAGAATGCATCAATCATTTACCTGTGCAATGATACTTTGCAGATTAGAGTTTTTAAAGTTTATTCTCACATTCTAGTAGAGTGTACAGAGTCTAATAATTTCTAATTGCATCTGATACAAGGACTGCAGTAAGGTACACGGTTCTTCTAACCAGTCATGCCACTTGTTTGATGGAAGTGATTGCTAAGTGCAGTTTAAAATTCTGTAGTTTGTGGAATGCTGCTGTGCACAAAACAATTGCCATTTTGTCTTTCAGAATTATAGAACAGATAATTAATTCTATGCAGTATTTTTGGACATTTTGAAAGACGTGGAAAATGTCGAATAGATACACTTTTTGTCTTTGGAGACAGTCAGCAACAATGCTGACAAGGGATTGTTAGACTTATAACATTTTCTCTCACGTAGCTTATGAACAAGACACTGACTGGTCAGCCATGGACAGAGGTGTAGTATTACTTCAGAGTAATGGTTAAAACAACATGGGTGAAAAATGTTTTGACTAATTGCAATTTTTAAACTGCAATATTTTTAAATTCAGCTCCATTAATTGCATCCGATTATACTCTGAGCAGTGCTTATGTCATCCATTTCGATAGTATTCAACTTTTGGTTTCAATTTAAACCCAGTGTTTTTACACATTACTATATGCAGCTTTTACAGCAACAGGCCTTTATATTCTATTTAAATCTTGGATGAAATAATAATTGGAAGTCCTGCATTTAAATAAATAATTTGCAACAAAGATACCCACTCTGACTTCAAACATTTTGCCAGTCTCATGGTGCACTGTGAACAGAAGCGTGCGGTAGGGGAAAAAATTGTTTCAGAGATAGTAGCAACTGCAGATGCTGGAGAATCTGAGATAAGAAGGTGTAGAGCTGGATGAACACAGCAGGTCAAGCAGCATCAGAGGAGCAGGAAGGCTGACGTTTTGGGCCTAGACCCTTCTTCAGAAAAATCA